GTACTTTGATTCTCACCAACAATAATAGAAATATCACAATAGTTAGAATTTTTATAAAATTCATCAAGTCTGCTTGAGTGTAGAGTCAATAGCAAGTCAGGAGTCATTTTTATTCGATTAAATTTTAATGATAATTCTTTATCTTTTTTTGTAAAGAAAGCAAGTTGACGTTGACAAAATGTACATGTATTGACAAGTTTTATATCGATATAGTAAGTTACATGTACATGTAGTGAAAAAAATTAGAAAGATCGTCCTCATTTGATAACGGATTAATTAAAAAGGCATTTAGAGCAACAGTTAAATCATCTTTCAACTCAACTTTAGACTTCACTAAACGCTCCATTTCTGATTACTTTTTTTATTGGAAAATTTATTGAAATCAAAGAAATGTTTTCGAGTTTCTGATATAACATATTCTAGGCAGTCATTTGCAGTATGCGAAGATGACATTTTTTGTGTTGAAATTATTTTCGTTGTCGCCGTGAAAAGGCTCGCTAACGTTAAATATTTGTTCGACCGTCGTTTGATTTTACATATTTAGGCTTATTTCCTCATACATGTCATAAACCTTGTGTTCATGTAATTTTATTAATAATTATCCATTTATCTGATAATCGAACAATTTTCGTGAAGTTTATTATAAAAATTTCTTACTAACTTTAATATGTAATTGACTTATATATTGTATATGTAACTGCTAATAAAAATAGGATAATAATTAAAAATCTATTAAAATCAACGAAACATTCGGTTTATCAATAAATTCAAATGTTGTTGCCCTCATATCATCCATATATTTATATTATCTGTTGGTTGCATTGCGGTATAAAAAATGGCATTGCTTTCAGGGAAAAATTCTCGGAGCACCCAGATAAATATGCCGAGTTTTTATCAAATAATGTGCCAGGCAATCGCTCAGATGGCTAAGTATTGATTCATATCGATATTAAAAATTCAAGCTCGACTTCATTTAGAAATTTAAGACAAATGTTCAATTTATCATTGTATGTCCATAATAAGAAAGAAATTAAAGAGAAATATTCGGATTACGAATAATTTTTTCAAAAAAGGAACCGAGCGATTGGAATATGTACATGCACGAATGCATAATAAATTGATCAAATTTCATACCAGTGTTTATATGTCCATATTTTTTACACGAATATACGGATACATATGCCGAGTGCAGTAGAAACGGCATATTTTGTATTAGAAATTCTAAAATAATTTACACTGTTTCCATTGCACTCGGCCCATTTGGATGTCCAACTGACAACACTGATTAAATACAGCCACACCACACCACACTTATCTGAGACAGACTACTTCCATATTTAATATTAATAAAAATATGAATTAATCTATTGTGAAAACGCCAGATACACTATTTTGATCTACCTCAGTGGGTTAGGCAAGACTAAGTATTCAAGTTGTTAAATGAGCATTGACCAAATAATATGGCTTGATATTATTACGCAATACCTCCAAAAGTTCTTCAGGTTTACAAAATCGCCTGAACCTAGTGACATGCTTGTAGATTTTGGACAAAGTTTTTCAAGCTTAATAAATCACTCACGATGAATCAAAATACCCATCGAGACTGTGTAATTGTTAGGCAAAGTTATTTAGTCTTTGATCGCACAGTAGCTTCAGTAGCTCGTATACAAATAACTAAGTTGTTTAATTGACAATATTTAGAAAAATAATAGTCATAATCATCACTTTGCAACTTGTGAAAGCATCAATTTAGCCGTGCATTCGACATCATGATAAATCAACTGATTCTAGCTGAAAAAGAGCAATTAAAAATAATCGGTCTCAAATCCATTGCTTAATAACTAACTATGATCGAATCAAGAAAAAATACGATATGATTACTAAAGTCAAGATTAATACTCCAGCCCCACCATATCTCGGACTACATATTATTTTGATGTTATATCTACATGAGAAGCCAAAGTTAAGCAAATTATTCAATCATCCAGTCTGAGAAACATACTCATCACAGTTGCAAAAATACTATTGTCTAGACGAACTACTCTACGACAATACAATTATATCCCGGACATTAAAGAATGAAAAATTACTAACAGATCATAAAGCATACCTTCCTATTGTTTTGTAATTATGGATCAATGAACAGTTATTCATAACATCCGACAGTATGTTTTAGCTCGGATCTAATTGAATAAATAAAATCATTTGATGGCTATGATGAGTTCAAACTTTTTAGAAGAATCGAATGTTACCATTGACTTGGTAATTCACGAAATTATGACAGGATCAGCTACTTGGACACTTATGTCCAGGTTTTACACAATAGATCACAATACATGTACATGTATATTTTTCAACAATAGATCATCGCAAATAACGGGGAAAGTATTGAATCAAAGATGAAAAGAATGATAAATTTAACTTAGCATATTTTTCATCACATGCAAGTTATAATTTTCGTTATCGGTAAAATATTTTTATTTAGAAAGGGATTGTTTTTGTGTCACGAACATAACTAATGCTAAATACCGTATAGCGCTTACTACAGTACCTTCTTAGTAAAGTATCCCCCTTTTATAGTACGGGAGTATTATTCAACTCCGAGTAGGGATATTTTTGAATACTACTAATCATCCAACCAATCAGGTGAATATGTTATATGATAGGCGATGTGTAAGTTAAAATGACATTTATTTTTTAGATTAATATTTTTACGTTTTTTTTTACCTTTTTTTGCCAATTATATATGCATCTAATAATAATTTTTAAGGAATCCAGTGACACAATCCCGATAGTCATATGTCTGGCAAACGAAATCCCAATACTGAACGAATGACATTCGATCATTCGGAATATCGTTCATTCGAATTAATTGCAAATATAACACTCATCGCAGTATCTTACTCTCTGGTTCCATTTTTGAGTTCACTTTTTTATTTGTGACGTTCATCATAGAATGCATGCATTGCTACATGTATTAAGTAATCGTGTTTTTAGTCATTCCATAATATACTATCAAGTAGTCGTAATCATAGCATAATGTTCATTTTTTTGCTCGTTTATAAACTCTGGAGCAATTTGCTTTGAACTGTATAATGATTTCAACACAAATTTGCTTTCTCAACGAAATCAATTCTTAATTAATTTTCTTTTAATTACGTTGTAAACGTATCGTTGGATTAACTGTAAACTTGGTCATTACGTTCGGATACTGTTAATTCGGGATTTCTGTTGGCGTATAAATTTATCAGGATTGTGTTTGTTGGGATGTCGAAACTATTTTACTTATATAGTAATCCCTTACAAAGTAGCATAGGAGAAGTTACCATCGTTACACAATTTTTTATGTGTTTACAATAGTCTCAATAGTGCCACAATTGGTTTTGTGATAACTTGCGACGAAAATTTGCAAACATATCCTTCAAAGCAGCTTTTTTCATTTAAGCTTGTAAGATCCAGTAAGATCCAATATTTCGGTGAGTTACAATAGAAGTATTTCTTTATTCGCAACAATATATTACCAAGCAATGACCTGATTAAGTGAATTTAAAAAACTAAATGTACTTCCTGGCTTCTACTTGTTCCTACCTCTTCTACTGTTTCATTTTCATCTGAAGCTTCTTCGCTATTCTCTCTTTCCTCAGTGGTAAGAACATTCGGTCCTTTTTCTAACCGTTTTAAAAAAGAATTCACATTGCTATAAATGCCCATTTATAATATTCCTCACAGTGACGATAACCATACTCCATCATTTGATAATATTCAAAATGATATCCATGTTCACAGACTAATACTTCACCATCATCAAGTTTTTTACAACAATGATCACAAGCATTTGGTAATGGAATTACCCCAGCACTGTATCCTGCCGGAAGACATCTTGAATCAACAGTTTCTCCTAAAGTAGCTAATTCATATCTTTTTTTTGGACAGCTTGCTTTTTCCATGATTGTCAAAAAGATTATGAAAATAGTCCAATAAAAAGAATGCTGATTTTTCTGTTAACAAATCCAATGTTGAGGGTTGGTAAGGATATTGTTTTGTTTTTTCAAATATATCTTTAAGTTTATTATGAGTTCACACATCTAATAAAATTGTATTAATAATTAGTATCACAATTATTAATCATGATCGAAAAAAACTTATCAATCATGTAAGCTTGCTTTTAATGTTATCAATAGTGCTATTTGCAAAGGTATGAGCTTGTATCTTACTATACATATTTTCAACATAGTAATCATTGAAATGTACTAAAAACAGTTTTATAACTTTCATAAAAGGATGATTTGTATCTTCCCAATAAAAAACATCGGATAGAAATGCCAATGGTACTTTGTTATAATTATGTCGTTTCCATCAAAGAGCAAAGGTTCAAATCTGAAAAATTATTTCCAAATATTCTTCAAATGAGCCGGATGGCATAGATATCCAAATTGCTGGAATCGCATTATCCAATAAATCAATGATTATACAATATTCAATATCTTTACAACTACATCCAAATTTTGTTATAATTATGTTTTTGATTTTACACCATCTATTGTAAGCCAAATCAAGAATTAAATTAATTCTCCATGATTTAGATTTTTTTGCCAATATCTTTCTCTCTCCGAATATAAAATGAAATAGCTTTTGAAAGAAAGTATGATGTATCATTATTACCTATTCAAGGAGATATAAAGAGGTTCCAAAATCAGAATGAATGAATCAATTCCAGCAGGTATAGAATATTGTGAATTATGCAAATTGGTTATTGCTTTCCGAATGAGTATTTACCCAGGCCAATCTGTTACTAATGGTGCAATACAATTTTATAGATGTTCAATATTCAAGATCATCTGCAATACTGTTATATAATTATCCATAGAGTGTAAGTTTCTTTCTCAAAGACCAATTAATTGCACATCTTTCATTGATATCCCTCTTTTTATTCACTAATTGCATCATCATAATTATATATTGCAAGCAAATCAATTTGGTCAAAATTATTATTAATATCCAATTATCTAGAAATTGACCATTATTTTTGTGATTGGTGTAGGTGATATCGAATATTCCATGATACTTATGTATCAATCAAAAACAAATATTACTTGCATCAATATTTACTGAATTGTGAATTGATATATTGTTAAAAGTAAGAGGAATTGGTGCACAACTTGAAACTTGTTTGCAAATATTAGTAGTTATATATTTAGCCATGGATAAAGTAATTGTATCAGGTCATCTTTTTTATATAAATTACAATAATCATCCAAATTATAGATATACAAATAGTTAACCTAATTATAAATTATAAATTAAGTAATAATTATAATAATTATATATATTATATATTTATTATATTAAACTTATATATTCAGCAAAAAATATTTGAATTTATTTTGGATGTTCATATGCCAATCTCTTTTTATAATCACTAATCATTTTGTAGCAAGAAGAAAAATCAAGATTATGCATTGTATTAATTGCAGTACATGATACTCCAGCTGCTGATAAGTATAATCCAAGCTCTAATTTGAAATCATTAGTAAACTTGTTTCGTATTCCAGGCAGAATATAGCATAGACTGACAACTGACTTTCTTGAATTGTTTTTGTTACAGACTGATCTATTCTTGAGGATCAATACTTCCACTATTTAATCAAAAAAACCTATTAAATTTGGATTTGCTTCTTCAATTATTTGTTGAAAATGAATAGGATTAAGTTCTAAATTAGTTGGTTCGCAATGTTTTTTGTACAAAACTTTGATTAACCTTATAACTTATTCAGTGAATATATAATTTTTTTCTAGATATTTAAAATTAATATTAACAAATAATTAACTTGTTCAGCAAACATATAATTTTTTTTTAGATATTTAAAATTAATATATTATTAAATTAACAAATAAAACACATTGTATATATAATTATTACCATGTATTTTATCTTTTTTAATTGGTTTGCTTATCTCCACAAGATTGAGTGCTGCTGACTTTTGGTTACGGTCAGGTTCAACGATATGTATATAACGCAATTGTTGTCCAATTGTTAAATATGTATAAGATGCATAAGTATTTTTTTCTTTAGCTTTTTTATATGCTAGTAAAGTAAATTGGCGAAAACGGTTTGTTTTTTTATCACAATTTTGTATTGAACAAAGACCTTTATTTTTTTGAACCATGATAAATTCAAGAATTTTTAAAAAAATGTACGCGAGTCTACACGTATCTACGTAGTATCAACGCATGTCAAAAATTATCTAGAGCCATTAACCAATTACATTCTTCAGTGTACAGATGATCATCAACCAATAAAATTAAACTTCCCTATGCTTTACAAAGTACCCCCCCCCCCCTTTATAATATCCCCTCCTCACACAGTATTCCCCCGGGTACTATTCAAGTTAGTCTGGGATTTCTTGAATAAGACCCGGTAATTGTACATGTGCAAACAATTCAAATTACGTGACCAACCATGAGAGATTTATAAATCTAACCATAAGTGGGATTATATTATAGGCAATGTGTGATTTGAAGAAAAATAACTAAATAAAATTATTTTAAATAAGATGCTAACACGAAATTGATAGCTTTATGTCTTTTATATTAAATAGAATCGAAGGCTTTACTTTTTTGCAGTAAAAAGTTGATGCATATCACTTAATTTTTTGATTATTTGTTTTTTTATTTTAGAATAACCTATTTTTATTCGAATTATTTTTGTTATTAGGTTGTTAATAAACTGTTATTATTTTGCTAATTAAAATTAGACATGTTATTGAACTTACCTTTGCATTATCTCTGTGAAAGATTGGCATGGAAGATCTCAGAACCCTAGTGATACCCCACTCTGTGTAAATCATTCAGTATATTTCACGACTCCTGTTACATTTACAAATTCTTTAGTCAATCTAATTTCCGAATTGAGTGCGACAATATCTCACTGCCAAAAGAGTAAGTGAAGCTCTCTCAATGAAATGGCAACAAGCGCATATAGTTACTAAAAAAATTATAAGGAATTTTATAATATAGCAAATGATTTTATTTTAGTCAGCTAGTTAAATTGGAGCAGAATGTAGATACGATATCAAAAATTATTACTTGTATAACTGCTAGGAAAATGATATATATTACCTCATTATGGATTATTAGAGTTTTTCTGAAAACTGATATAATATATATGTGCCTGAAATTTTATACAGACCCGGGATATTTTTTACTTCCCTTACCAAATCTAAACATTTTAATAAAAACCATTAATATGTTGTATTAAATAAAAGATTTTAATTTCTTAGAAAATATGATATCCAGTTCCAGTTGGGCCTGATATGAAATCCCAACAAGCACAATCCCAACAGTTCATTAGAAAAATGAAATTCAGAAATAATAGCATTCCAAATGATCGAAATCTGAATGAACGACATCGTGAATGAACGAATTGCACGAAATCCCGAAATCGTGATTTTGATATTCCACGCATTTCATAATCTCGGGATTAGTTCATCCGAATACCGTTCTTTCAGGATTTCGTTTGCCAGGCTTTATGAAATGTCGGGATTGTGTTGGTCAGGATTTTGAACATTACAGGTTACGTTACAGTTACGTGTTGTAGGTTTAGTGCCAGAAACGAAATAAATTTGAAAATACACAGTTTATATAGTTAGTATTTATAAGTACAGTGTGTTTCGTATCGTAGTTGACACTATAAAAATTATCTTTATTAAATACATGTATTTTCATGTTATTATTTTAACTATATTTTTTTCTATGTTATTTTATAGTCTTGCTTAATAACATTTAAGTTTCAAAAATTAAAGCACTAATTGGAATACTGTTCATAGTGACTCTATAAATTAAGGTTTCTGTTATATTTGAAAAAATCCAGTTTATCGAGATTCGAAGAAGAAATTTAGTCTTTCGAATGAGATTTATTATAACTGTTCTACACCTCAAGATCAAGAGTCGTCATACAATTCTGTTTATTTCAACGACCCATTATGTATAGGTTTTTTAAAAGTTCTATCTGGAATCAGCTCTATAATATCAAATTCATATCGAATGCACAAGCAATTACAACTTCTATCATGTTGTCGTCACACTCAACTCAGAAGTTAGGGTGACTAAAGAATCGAAGACGTTACAAGAACTTGAAGTTAAACTGAATGATTTACACAGATTGGTGTATCACAGTCCCCGGCGAAAGTAATGGCGCGAAGATTCGAATTACTTATTCAGGCATAATACTATAAAACGTTCATTTATAATGTTTATTTGTCATTGAGTCGCGTAAATAGATAGTAACCATAAAATAAATTAAAAAAAATAATGGTCGTCATCAGTGCTTTTTGTTTACCTTGTAAAATATCTTCGAACCCCATTAAAGCCAATCATAATACCGTTAACTTTCTCTAGAAGCAAAATTTGCAAAAGAATACTTTTTATTAGTTTCAAAAATAAATATTTGTTTTGAATTTTTCATTACACATTAATCTTGCAATTTCATTAATTTACTCTTAAAAATCATGTAATTGATATATATTTTATCTTGAAATTATAATGGGATTAGAGTTTTGTGAATTTAGAGAAATTTGTACACTATAATGGTGAATGAAAGAGAATGATTAGACTATTGATTTAAATCCTGTGCCAATATCTATAAATATTATTCAATTTAGATATTTTCAAAAGTAGATGATTGGGAAAGGATAAAGAAGATTTTTGATTATTAACTATTTTATTCTTTTTAATTATATGTTTTTTCTAAATAAAAGCTTTAAATTTGGATTAATTAAAGTATTCAATTAATGACGCATTCTATCTTTTCTAAATTAAAAAATCTAATTCAAATTGTCATCTTTTTTGATGAAAGAATCTAACCAATATGTTTAGAATTATAATTCTTATGATGTGATTTTATAAGTATTTCTCTTGAAGATTTTATATGTAATTTTATTTATATTTT